TTATAAAACTAAGCTAAGCTGCTGTAAATTCATAAGAAAAAAATATTTCTCTATTTCCAATAAGTAACCATTTTTGATGCAACAGTGATACTTACTTTGGAGAAATTAGTGCTAATAAATGAGAACTAATTCAGGACACTGTGTTTGAGGTGCTGTCTTTTTATGTACATTGCTAAAGCTAAAATAATATTTGTTCAAGGGTTATTAGAGCTGATGCTAACCAAATGTAAATATTCACAACACAGAGTTTATGAAATTACTGAAGATTTAAGACACTTCCTTAACTACAGGCATAAATCTCATTTTAATTTTGATAGTCTTTAAATTAAGCAGTTTAAGAGGTGAAGTTATTAATTCAATAAAAAGGTGACTGCCCCTCTGGTTTTTTAGGAATTATTTTAGAGAAGCTTCTGCAGTTCTGATCTCAGCTTTGAGTAATGGTGAGGCAAATACACCAAAGAGTAGGAAAGTTTATACAATAGGCCAGTAGCTATTGATGTAGTTTTAGTTCAGCATTCTGAGTCTGCTCCCTCTCTTCTGATATACAGAAATACAGTAGGAGTTTGCCCTTTGGTTTCTATAGTTTTGCCTTCATTGTGAGAATGTCATTGAATTTAGCTCAAGTTTACTTAAAATTAGCTTATCTGCCTGAACTGAGATTTGACCATTTTGTCTAGAGCTGTTGTAGGTTGATAACTTGAACAAATACATCAATGTACAAAATATATGGTCGTTTGCAGAAGGCTTGAGCTCTCCCTGATACTCTGGGCTGTTTTGCTGGCTGCTTTCCACCTGTTACCCAGCCATGGTGTGTTCTGGCCATCCAGCACTGAACCCCCAGTTCCTGCAACTAAGCTGGGTTTTACAGGTGAGGCTTGGCAGTGTGCTACTATTTTACTACTGATTCATTCTTGGCACAAAGTGCACAAAGAATTGTTTGGTTACAAAAGATTTTGAAAACAATCCATATTACAGACTGAATTTACGCAAGCATATTATCCTGCAGCTGAATTTAGAGGAAAAAAACCACCCACTTTTACAGTATGAGCTAATGTTTGTTATTATTAGTGTTCAATCTAATAGTGACAATTTACAGCTGACAGAAGTCCAGAGGAAAGAAGATGAGTTTGGGATGTGAACCTCAGATGATCTACTTGGTAATGGTGTGCTGGTGCCACAAGATCCTCACTTGGTTGTGTTTTATATGCTCTTTGCAGAGATATCAATGACCACGGAGCGTGTTAAATACTAATCACTCAAGCTTTGAAATGCAGTTCTCTTCACTAAACTGCCTTCAGGTTTTTAAAAATCCTTGAGGTGTATATCAATGTCCATTTTAAAGACTCCAAAAGTGACCTGCTCCATGAACTGGTTCTTGGCAACATTAGCACCAGGGTATGGTTGAATAAGAAGAAAACACTGATCCAGAAGAATGCACTTACAACAGGCACTGCAGCATCACCTGACTACCTCCTGGTTAATGTTAAATGTGAAATTCAGATAGGTAGAACGAAATTCATTAGCAGTTTATGATTCATTGTATGTAGTATTACAAAAGTTTCCTACCAAAAAGTACTGATAATTTATTTGCCAAAGAGAATGCAGTGCTGCTCTGGGTGTTTTCCGTGGGTGGGTTGGTATTAAAATAGGACAAGTGCTAGCAGGTTTTGCTTATTTTTCTGGAAATTTTTATGCTAAGGGACAATTAGAGATGAAAGTCCCCCTATTGATACCAACTATAAATCTGTAAAGATCAGAGTTTCTGCAGTATTTAATTTCCAAACAAATAAGTTGAAAGTGTGTGGCAGATCTGGGATAGCAGTAGGGATGCAATTGAAGAGAAACCTCTCTCTCCTTTTGTGCCAGGAAGAAATCTAGGTTTTTAATATGATAGCATATGACAGAACTTAAGCTGTCAGTAAGCGTGCTAATCTGGTACCTGTACTGTCTGTATGAACTTTAAAGATAACAGAAAAATGTTGTCTAATAAATAATTCTCATAGTGTGGTTACAGATTTGTTTTCACAGTGCTGCGTGAGCATTAAATTTACAACTTTCTGCAGCACAGAATTGTTACAATTGAAAAAGATCTTCAGCCATGACAAATCTTTATACGGAGAAAAAAGAAAAGCAAAAAAAAAGGCAATATTTTCAGTTACTGAAACAGTTACTGCTGGCTTATGTGCTCAGCATTGTCATTTACTTACTCAAACACTTGTCTGCTTTGAAAACAGTCTGTGGTGGTGCTTTGAAGAGGAAAAGTCATCAGAGTAAGATTACAGAAGTTAATTTCCTCATTCCTGTCTGTGTGATAACTTGCTTTTAAAGCATATGTCCCTAATGATGTAGTCTCATGATGTATTTGAAAAAGGCAGTAAGAGTTTAGCTTTCAAATATTTAGTGTAGTTAAATCGCCACAGGAAAAACTATGAATCCCTGAATCATCATTTTAAAAGTTAGGAATGGTTTTATTAATATTGTCTATGCAAATTGCTTTGTTGCCAAGAAGTTCTTTAGGAATGTATAGGCACAGAGGCTGGGAATGGAAATGTTGGTTCAAGCAGTCATCCTTCTTTAGAAATGGTGCAAATCATATTCTTGGATAATGTGGTTCTTCCTACTGAATTTGATCCTGCATCTACATGAATACAGGATGTATCAAGGGCCATAACATACACTTTTACAGAGCTATTATCATGGAATCACAGAGTCCAACCTTATGCTTTGTGTGTGTGTAATGTTAACTCCCCCTTCTCACACCAATTAAATAAATTTCTTAGAAAAACTACAGTTTAATCACGGTAAGGGAAAAAGTATTTTCACCTGTGGTTGAGTAAGTCTGATTGTTGTATGATTCCAGTAGTCGTTAGAGGAAAAACTAGCATCCACTTTTTTCTAGTCACAGTTATTATTCAATATGCTATTTTCTTTTTATTTAAAATATTCCTTTTTTTCCACTGCTTTGAGTTTAATTACATCCAACTATCTATTGATTATGGATTGGAAATGTGCACAAATATGAGGGCAAATTTAAATCCACTTATACTCCAAAGAAAGTTTCTGCTTTGTAAAGAGGGTCATTTGAACTAAATGCCAATGATACAGCTACAGCTGTGAGGCTGGAGGTCATAATAGATGAGAATTTAATTCCTTTAAATTAGACATTAAAGGATAATGAAAAGCTATGAGTCACTTTTCCTTAACTTTGTTCCCAGTGGCTACATTTCTGACAATACTGGTGTGCAAATAGAGGCCCGCTAATGTGTGCACAGAAATGAACACAGACCTCAGGCTGAAATCACAATGAAAATCAGAAAATTCAATTTTGCTGCTCAGGATTTATAAAAGATCTTTACTTATGGCTACAACCTAGATAATTTTTTGCTCCTGAAGTTACAATAAAGGTATCAAGGTATATAGAATATAAAGGTATAAAGAAAAACAAAATATACTAGTAAGTCACAATTTTCTGCCTAAATCCATATTGTTAATCTCTTTTTTTTTTTTGAGAGAGAGGAAAAAAGAATATATTCCCTACATATTAGAGTTTTACAGCAATTTTCTCGCTTGTAATATATGAATTATTAACAGAGATATCCTCAGTTTAATACGGAAATAGCTTAGGAAATCATTCCTTGGAATTAATCTTGGGGCAAGCTGCAAAACTAATGTTTTATGGCTTTTATACGGTGAGTAACATCCTGTACTTTAGAAGTAAAAGCAACTGATTTCCAGCTTAACTGTCAAATTAAAACTCTTCTGATTCTTATGACCAGGGTGATTTATTATAGATCAGCAAATTGTATTCCTAATTTTTTATAGATCAGCAAATTGTATTCTTTCCCAAATATACTAAATGGCAGACAGGCCATTTTTACAAATGCCCATTTCCTTCAAAAGAAATCTAGTGAAGATTACTGTTGTGCAAAAATTTGCAGTTTCTAGAATAAAGAAAACATTCAGCTTAGAATATAGTGCACATTAGCTATATAAAACAGTTCCTGAATGTACTGTCCTACATCCATAAGACCTACTTTTGAAAATAGAAGGACTCTTTGCCTTAAAGTATAACTGTGAACTCTTGTCCTCTTTTTGAAACCACAGAAAGTCCTCTCCTGAAACAAACCATTAATGAATTGCATGTGTATTTTAAATGAAGAGAACTTTGTACTTCAATTTTTTTGGTGCCCTACACCAAAATTCTCAAGCAGGAAAAAGTGGCTTCGGTGTTACTGATGTCCAGATTCAAAGTATATCTAATACCACACTCTTGCACGTTCCCTGCCCTGGTTTACTTTTGGGAAAGTATCAAAAATTTGAATTTTGAAGAGCAGGTATAAAAAAAAAAGTGCCATTTTTAGCAGAGTGGCTTTGAATCTGAATTCTGAAATGCACAAAGAGAAAAAAATCTAGACAGGGAAAATAATGGTGTACTTTAACCTACAGAAACCTTCTAATCCTTTTGAATCCACAGATGAACTGCTAGAAGGAGAAATGTGGGTTCTGTAACATGGAATCAGTGTGCTACATTAAGGACATGTTGCTCATAATTTATTGTTCTTAATCACAAAAGGAAACCTCCTAAGGGTTTTAACCTTCTGCAGTTATCTGTGCTTAGTAATTAATATCCTCCAGCTCAGAAGTTATCTAGAGCTGCTAAAGTACTCGGTGAATTTACTGTTTCTGCAGTTATAATGTGCACTCTGGAATAGCCTCCACAACCCTGGCTGTGTGTGGAATGCTCCTACAAATAACCCTGATGTTGTGTTCACACAGAGCTCTGGGACCTGTGCTCCCTGGGAAGTGACAGCTCACTAAAGGAACTGCCCTCAGAAAAGCTCCATCGATTGACAACAGCATTGGATGTGGGATAACACCACCATTTGTGACAAGAACCTCTAAAATACAACAGTGTGTGGAGAACATGACTGGCAATCAATCATTTAAAACACTTAAAAGATAATCTGATGTACTTTTTATGTCCCCTATAGGTCACTTACTTTGAGAAGTCTGAGTGCTTATAAACTTCTTTATCAAGGCGTCAGTAGTTTGTGTGTAAAGGCTCAGAGCGTATTTGAGGGACTGTAGGTCTGGGCTCTTTTCCAGGAAATTCTTTTTCAGCCCACTCCCTCCAGCATGGAAGTATTGCTAAAATGAAAAGCAAATATGGTTGTTCATAGAGGAAAGTTATCTGAGAAAGCCCTCAGTTGCAGATGTACAATTTTAAGTAAAATTCTTAAACGAACTTTTAGAAATAACAGTAGGCATGTGTAGCTGGATTTATGACTAAAGCATTTGAGATAACTGTCATTATCTCTGCTACAGAGCTTCTCTACCAGGGTGAAAAAAATAAGTGTTGGAGGAAGAAAAAAAATACAAGATTTTAATATTGATCCTCCAGATCGGAAGTACTTCTCTGCCAAAACTGGATAAATATTTGTAGCATTCCTTTAGGTTGCAGAGAGTGGAATCAGTTTAAATTCTTTATCTAAAAAAAACCCCAAACACCAAACTTTCAAATCAAGGCATATTTACAATCACAAGTAAAGAATATATTGCTTTTTGCCCCTAAGATGGGGCAGTTCTTCACTCTGCAAGCAGCTGCACCAGTGTAGAGGTCACTGCTGCCTGGGCAGCAAGGCCTAACGAGACAGCCCTGCTCCTTTTGCTGTCCCACTTGTCCCTTGAGTGCTCCCCCCTTCTTTCATTAAAAAACCCAAACAAACACATATATATAGATAAATAGATATTAGCAGAAATATCTAAAAGAGAAAATGACTACTGATCTACTAGATTTGGAACAAAACATGTTTACCACTTTGATGCCATGCTGTAAACTATATATATATAAAATATATGTAAACTGACTATAAAAACATATTGTAGTCCCTTTTCAGTCCCAAAGCTGACTTCAGAAAACTTAGGACAGATTCTTCTCTTCTTCCTCCCTCAATGAAGAATTTTTCCTAAAATTTCAGGTGAGACAGTCATTGATGAATTAATGCACTTAAGCTCCAATGAAAAGATAAATGGGCTACATACACTCATTTTGTTCAAACACCTTGCAAAGCATTTTGCAATCTATGTTATAGCTCTAGGTCTCAAGATCAATAAAGCTCCCATTAATGGCTAATTAGTAAAAACAAACAATGTTTTTCAGGAACACACTGTGACTACTTGATGACATGGTCCACTCTGTACAGGGAGTGCTGGGGACTGTAAGCAGAATCTTCTGGCTGCTTTTCTGGTGTTGCCAGAGGAATATATGCAATATACACTCTCTACATACATATATATCCACTAAATGCTGTATCCTAAACTTATGTGGACAGTGCAGACCTACAGTCCCTTTGTATTTAGTGTACACATTTCACCTTCTGATTCTCAAGATTTTGCAGGAGATGAAACATAAATGTACGTTCCATAACAGTTATTATTTACATTTCTGTGTTGAAGCCTGCTGGTCGTCACAGGGAAAAAAATATCTGTAGCAGCAGACCAGGATTTGAAATCATCAGGCTTCAAAGTTTTATATGTTGCTCTATCACTATGGGGGCACTTAGTGTCAGCTTAAATGGTTCTGACTAAATCACCTCTATCTTCTCATCATTGCATACTTACATAAAATTTATATCTTTCCAAGCAAATTATTTCATACTATATATTCCAAAGAAGTCTCTCTTGTCTTAATTGCTTAAAAGTGTAGTCATGATTTCACTAAGGATTATAATCAATTTATAAGCAAGTGTTAAAAGCTGTTAATATTTCTTGCTATTTCTTGACTATTACTGTGATTTTTTTTTAAGTTCTGTCTCCCAATAAAATGTTATCTGCAGTAGCAGCTGCAAATGGCTAAAAGCTCCATGAAAGCTAACAGATAATTAAAGAAACAAGGACACCTGACCCTTATCTTCCTGAGTTTTTTACATTGCTTTGCTTTTGCCCATAAATGGTAAATTTTGCAAGCAAAACCAGTAATGTGAACATATCATTACTGTATGGAACCAAATATAGAAAAATAATGAGTAAACAGGGTTTTACAGATTCAGCTGGATGGCTGATATCCTGCTCCTGAGAGATGGAAACCTCAAAATAGTTCACCTGCTCCTCGTGTTCCTGTCTGAGGGGTTTCAAGGTTTGTAGGTGACACAAGAGGTTTTTGAAGGGCTCAGTGACAAATGAAAGGGGTAGATGTCAAGTATATGGAAATCAATGCAGGAACCACTGCAGTCTCAGCCAAAACTTGACAAATGTCACACAAGCCCTTTTGGGTGTGGGTGTCACTCTGCAGAGAGCCTCTGGGTGCACAGTGGAAACTAGGACAATATTATCAATATACATATTCTCTGGGCTGAGATAATGAGAGAGCAGAGAGAATTCAGTTTGAGATAACAACTGAGGCCAGAAAGCCACTTCTCCTAACAGTAAATTGTAAATTAAGATTAAAAAAATTATATATATATATATATATATCTATCTCTACAGTTCTTTTTACATAATATAAACCCTCATGATATGCTATATATATTTAAGATAAAAAATTATTCATTTATTTTATATTCTTTGAAGCCTTAATTACACCATCAACTATTAAATGATAATTGTTTCTCAGTGAATTAAATGAAAGGAAAAATAAAAAAAGTACTGAGATACTCCTCCCTGCAAAACCTTTCCTTATCATAATCATGTACTTAATTTCTGAACACATACCATATGTCATTTTTAACATTCTTCTATTCTTATTTTGGCAGCTTTGTTTTTTTGCTTTTCAACAAACCATATTTACTTAGCATAAACAAAAACATTCTATATTTTGATCATTAAATTTATGAACTGCATTCCTAAATCAACAGAGCAGTCTTTTTTTCTTGAGGTAGCTCACAAAGTTTGTCTTTGTTCACTTTCTACCAGTGTAAGCCCTATTTCTGCATGGTCAAGGTATTATTATTTGCTTGGTATTTTGGAAAGCAAAGATTTTGCCATATCAGGTTCCAAGTACAGTAGGCAGCTACAATGCCATGTCATTGCCTTACAATTTGAAAACAGGTTTCTCAGAAAACATTATTTAGCTCAGTTATGGAGCACACAGAGATAAGAATACTGAGTTAATAAAGGTTTTCCCCTATTTAACTATTCCCTCCATTTCTGGACTTTTTCTTTGTAAAATACCTATCTCTGCCTCTTTAAGTGCTGGAAACTCAGGCAAGGTTAGAGTTTAGATTTTTCACAACTTTTATGTGTTTAGAACAAAGGCCTTCAACGGAAAATACTGAACAGAAGACTTCACATGGCTTAGTTTGGTAGCATGCAGTACTTCAACATTTTGTTCCATTTATGTTTCCACAACATTAGTAATCCCCAAAGACTATTTTTATTTCTGAAAGAAATGACAATTCCACTGCAAATCAAAAAAATGCAATTGGGCAGCCCTCTCTGATGCTTTTTTCTTGTCTTTTGAGACTATTTTGTTGCACAAGACTTGATCCTAAGTATTTCCTTGTGTTTATATCTTCAACTTTATACTCAGTAGCTGTCTCCTTACCTTCCTGATGTGCTGTCTCTTCACAGCACACACAAAACCATGCTGTTATTCTAGTAACTGATTGCTTTTAAGTTACAGTAAGTAATGATACAGGCCAATGTGAAAAACACTGATAAATACATTAAATGATATTCCTTAATGGTTTCTTTTGACTTCAGAAACCCAATCTGTGAAGACTGCATGAAAGTCTCCAGGTTTTTTTTTTTAATCAAAAAAACTGTCAGTCATGTTCTTGGTCATTCCAGCACAGAACAGAAAAACATGTAAAGCTGTACCTTTATAGTAACCAGTGCTACTTCCATTATTGCACATTGCCTCAGGGTCAGGCTTTTGGCTTCCTCTCGAATCACATGGTCCTGCAAAGCAAGTGAAGACTGCAATTGGTTGTGAAAGGAAACTATTGTGGCTTCGTCTTGGAAAAACAAATATACAAAAAAATCTGCCAAATGCCCTCCAAGGACATATGATTAACAGGCATTAATTCAATTTCAGATTTCTTTGACAAAAAATTATAACTTAGAGCAATTATGTTGTTTCTTGAAAATATGGACTGCAGGGGAAAAGATCCCCTGTTTAATACTGAGTATCTGCATAGTTTTATTTATTTTCCTAGGATGTGTTATTTCTCTGTTCTAGGGAGTAGGGGAGAGGTTAAAATTGAAATTCAAATAATTAGATGATACAGAAATTATTACTCTTATTAATAAACCTGAGAGTTTAACTAATCTTTGTTAATGCCACATGTTTTTTTTAAAAGAAGGGGCTCCTGTCAGAATACGTTAAAGAGTCATAAAGTGATGCACTCCTGTGAAATCTTTGTCTAATGTAAGCACCAGTGACTTACTTATGTAACATTTTAACTTGTCTAGCAAACCAAACAATTATTCATAGAAGCACGAGTTGTCACGTATCTGCACAAATCTGAAGTCCTAATGGCAAAATTAATTGGCAAACAACTGACATCAGTATCAAACATCTCAGCTCTCCATCAAGTGGACTCCAGCACTGTACTGCTGAAGAGTTTATTGCAGAGGTAAATACTGTGTTTCAATGCACACCATAAATAGTGCACAGAAAGGAAATTAATGGTTTTCTCACCTTAGAGCTTTTTAGAACTGGTTCCAGAAGGTAACACAAAGATCTCATATTTTTTTTGGTGATGTTTAATACTTTTAAAGCCAAGTTGTGCAACATGGGAATGAGATCTTCTTGACCCATCTAGTGATCACTTACCATGTAAGTAATCAGTCATTTATTCATAATCGGGTTTTGATGAAACTGTAAAACCATTATTCACCTTCGAGTAGTTATTGCCATATTCAACCTTACTACAGTAAATAAGAATGAGGCCTGAGGTTTGGCCTCACAATCACTAATTATCCATCTATTTTTTTTCATTAGCTCAAGCCATTCACAGCTTCATCTGGCTCCATTACCTTGAGTTTTGACAGTTGTCCAAGATCTTTGGCTGCACTGAATATCATCTGGGGCCCCTGTAATCACATTGAAAATTAAGGAAACAGACTCACTACGACACATTTGCTTTTTATGTCAACATGATCTTATAGTCTGCCAGAACAGCAGTCAAAAGTGTTTTGCAAAGCGTTTTGCAAAAAAAGCGTTTTGCAAAGCTAAATAAAAGTTTCAATTACACATGAGACACATTTTCCCTCAGTTGATAAGGCCAAGTAGTTGAATTCCTCAGTACGATTCCCTCCAGGATCCTGCACTTGAAACAAATATTGCAAATTCTGCTGATAGTGGTTTCGTGTCCTCCTTTCTGCTATCTCATTTTGTGTTTAATATTTTAAGCTGAGGCTGTGATTGCTTTCACACAGAGTGTCAGTGAGATATTTGGGCATGACCACAACTCTCAGGCATTATGCTAAAATAAACAATCATCCTGGGAAGTGAGCAGCCCCGAGGAACCTGCAGAAGCATGACTGCCTACAGTGAAATCTCAATTGAATAACACTCAGAAGAAAGGTAGACTGTTAAGACAAAGCCTTTTTTTTTAAAAAAAAGAAAGCAATATTTTACAATAGCTAACTCCTGGCATGACACCAAAGGCTGATACCTACATGTTTGTCTCAGACAAACAGAATCCTACTGTAACTCCATGCTCACATCTTTTATCACAGTTACTCCAGATAATATAATTATTAGCGCAGTTACTTGGCAGTTCAGCAAGATATAGTTCTGAATAACAAGATTTCAGAGAAAAAAGGTTCATCCAACTTTCATTGGACTACTTTTTCATCAGTCTTTCTGTACCAACAGGTTTCAGTTTCCAGAAATAACTTTGCTTCAATATCCTTCAATTGAAGAAGATGTAATACAAAACTGCAACTTAAATCTTCATTATTTATTAGTAGTGAGAATGGTAAGATAAATATTAAAATTAAAAAATAAACCCTGCTTCTGAATACTTGTGTCTCTTACCCTCAGACAGAAAGAAATAATTAGGGCTAGAAAAGAAAAAACATTTCTCATGGTATCCTACTTTTTATTGATTTTCTTTAATTGTGTGTTTAATAGTAAACAGAAGTGCACCAAAATAAATGCAACGAGTTAATACACCTTTCTCCTGCCAATGGAGACACTTTATATTAAGTCTACCACTAGTAAAGCTCACCTCTGACCCATGCTGTTCTAAAAATGAAAGTGTAACAACTGATCCTGCATAAAGCTAATAAATGCTCCTAGAGCATGATGGAAAATGCCAATGTTTACCCAATGCAAAATTCTACTTATGTATTTGCAGATAAGATTTCCCCCCAGATGTTGGAAAAGCAAATTAAAGATCTCAGAAACATAAATTTGAAACAGTCATTCATTGAAAGAGAGGTTGTTCCTAATTATGCATAGTAAACAACATCATTATGGTAAATATGAAAAAATTCAGTGATTGGAGTCCTGGTTATGATTTTAAGATTAGCTCTAGTCTAGAATTTTTAATAGCTCAGGTAATTTCATTACTTCCTTAGCACCATTTATACATGTCCTATTAGATTTTTTCCTGCCTCTCCAGCAATAATCTTTCATGTGTCTTTAATGTATGATATGATTTTATGATATGCCTTTAACTTATGGACACTGACTAATAGATTTTTAGCAGTTTAACTCATACCATAGGAGGTACATGGCAAAATTACCCAAAGGCACACTATGACAACATCATGATTATCTCATCATAAGTTGGTCAATTTATTTTAAACAAGATTGAAAACAAGAAGAATTAACAGTTATATTATCCTAGTCCCTGAAAAGCACAAAAAAGCAATTAAAAAAAGGCCCTCCAAGCCAGGCTCTTTTCTGTTGATCCTTAGACAGAATCAGGTTTTACTGGTCAGCTCAGTCACCACTCAGAGTTAATGTCAGGCTATGACCCACATGGGTCTCGTGTGTAGCAGCCCTACTTTTTGTATTTACAGTTTTGCTCCCTGTTCTTGTCAGGCTATAAATGCAGTTCTGCCCAAAAAGGACCTCCAATCAAATCTGCTATTAAAATACCCCAAAACTTTTTGGCTTAAGCTTCCTGATGTTAATTAAGTGCTGCCTCAAGATGAGGAATGGCAGAGCAGGCAAGCCTGGAGACTGGGATGGGGCATTCCTGCCTTTCTGGAACCTGCAAAAATGGAAGGGATGGAATTTCTGCTGCAACAGGGAAAGGCAAGGAATATACTTCATGTTATTGTGCACAATGAAGGCAAGAGCAATCAAACTTAAAAGCCCTTACACGAAAGCACGCTACTAAGTCAGTGATGCAGCTTCTTTTACATGACTGTGCTCACAAAAACTGCTCTGAGTCAGGGCAGGCAGTAAGTGGCAGAAGTAAGGTCTTTCCCATCATCTACATACAATCCATGTGTTATTCCTTGTGGTCAAGATTCAGAACAGGACAGTGTCAGACCCCTTGGCAAACACCTGATCAATCACTTTATTACAATCCTCTAGAACACAGGAGAATTACTGCTGGAACACTCACGGTTTGGTCTGTCAGCGGTGGAAGCACAATTTGTTTTTCTATTTTGTTTAAGACCAACTTCCAGAGCTCTTTCAAAATCCGTTTCAGAACTGTTTTCTCACAGATTTTTGCCGAGATGCTTAAACTGGAATAAAACAAAACAAAACCAGTCATTGAGACTTGTATTAAAACCTCAGAGATTCCATATCAGTATATACTCAGATTAATGGCCATTAAGGCTTAACTTTTCTCTACCAATAAAAATTTCTCAGTAGCTTAGCTATTTTGCAATGTTACCAGTAAATATTTTTGGTAAGAATTATTTGCAGATTACAAACTCATGTAAATCTCCACTATCTAATTTAATGCTTAGTATATAACTAATGTATATTTATCAGAAATGCAAAATGATGATGAGTTATAAAGTTTGATGGATGACAGAATTTAGCACTCCCACACCCTTAAATTAAAGATTTGGCATATAATTTATGTCTTAAAAATAAAAAACAAATGTCTCCCTTATTTTATATTTCTGTTGGGATCTAAAACTAGATGCTGACAGCTAATACAAATTCACAGCTACTGCTTGGAAGCATTTATTTCTATATACTGACATGTTTGTGCAATTATGCTATCTATCACTAACAGTAAGATTACATTTTTGGAGCACCTTTTCCATCTTAACTCTGAAAATGTCTGGCTAGGGAAAATAGGCATGAGGAGCCAAAAGGGTATGTAATTTGTGTCTGTGTGACTGCAGATTTGAAGTGCAGGATCAGTGCCAGGCTGCTTGTTCAATCACTTCCAGTGAAAGGCCACTGGTGTTTCACAAGTACCAGTAGCATCGTGACCAGGGACAGCAATGTGCTCACAGAGGTGTATGTGCTGCACATGGGCTTGCAGAACCTGTCACTGCTGGAGGATGAGAAGATAAGCAACCCTCACTTTCAGAGGCCAGAGTAAGTTTGTAGGTCCCTTTAAAAATTTAAGATTTTACCAAGTGAAAAAAAAAAAAAAAAGCTGGTCTTTAGGTGGTGACTAGGTTTTTGGGGACACAGAAGAGCATATTAATAAGGAGCGGGACACTGGATGCCAGCCTAAACAAATGCCTATTTCAGTATGGGAATTTATTTTTGTTCTTTTGTTCAGTACAATCTTTTTCATAACACAGCACGTGGAGGAGAGACTGTACACCAGTTCCTTTGCAATGACTCAAAACATGACAAGACATAGAAAGGCAAGTATGTAGCTCATGTAAAAATTGCTTAGCAGAGGTAAACAGGTTAAGCATGGTATTCTGCACACATGTGAGTACTGCAAGTATTAAAAATGCTACAGAGTGTTTCTAGGTATTAACAATCCTTCAGGGTAAAGCCAAGAATGCCTGACTGTAGCATCCAGTTCCTAATCTGCCACACTTACGTTTTGTCCAGGAAATCCATGAGAGGCCGAAGCACAATCTCAGCATCAATGGCTGCACTGTTCTTGTTGGCTGCTGCATTCCCATTGCCTCTCATTTGATTCAGTTCATTGCTCATTTGTCTTACACAATCTTCAATAACAAATTGGAAACTATACAATGAAAAATAAAAAAGAATAAGGAAAGAATTCAAAATTTATCGTTTTGCATCAGAGTCTTCACCAAGATTTAAAGCTTTTCTGCAGTGGTGCAAAGTTCACAAATGAAGATACTGTGGTGTCTGAACATAACTTCTACTAAGAATCATAGCTCATATGACTAATCCATGCAGTGTTCTGATCTTTTCCCCCTTTTCTATTCTGTGATGTTTTTCATAGCCTTGTAGAGGTGCCAAGTATTTACTTTCCAGAAGCACCAGTCTGTAGGTCAGACTATGGTTGACTACCAGCTAGGGACGATTTCTCAAGACTTGATTTTTTTTGTCAAAGAACAATAGGAACAGTTGATAATAAATAGTTTTTCTCTTGATGGTTAATAGGAACCAAGCTTCGATGTTCTTCTTGAGGACAAATAGGAAACTTCTACTGATTTTGCCCCATTTGGCTCAGTTTGACTTCCTATGGGCATCACACAAAGTCAGTGCCATCAGAAGCTTTGCGTGCTTCTTTGCAACTAGACAGAGCTAAAGGATTTGGACTGTTTAAAATATTCTTTTCAAAAACTTAAAAGTACTGAAACTTTTCCTCCTGGGAGGAAACTTTTCTACTTCAAAGTGACTGTGAACACATTCTTGGTCCTCAAGTTTGTAGTTCAGCTTTTCTGAAGACTATTCTCTTTCCTAACTGATCTGATTAAGTGTCTGACAGTCTTATAGTGCTATTGATGTGATAGTCTTTGGTCAATATATTATACAATGCAGAACAGCAGTAAATCAGAATCATCAGTTCAGAGGCAGAATGAGTCTCTGCACACATGGTAATTTGGTTTATGGATTGATTTATAATGAAGTGAAATGTTTTAGGATTAGTTTATGAACAGAAATGCCAAACAGAGGCCAAAAATATATCAGGGCTATTAAAGTGAAAAGATAAATGTCAAAGATTAACTCAAGAAAAGTGAAAGAGAATTTACTGTGAGAGAAAAGAAACATTATAATTAGGCAGTAAGCTTTTCCAGTGACATGGCTAATCGTAAAAAGAAATTGCAAACCTCCTTGTGAAAAAGCTGGAAAACTTGGAAACTTTTCCAAGTGCTCTTGGAAGTATACTTACCTACACACATCAAAGCCCTAGATAAAATTACATGAGGTTGCTGGTGATGCTGCTCATGTACATCCTTGGGACCAGTCCCTCCAACAAGTGCCAAAATAATTCATTGCCTTTCTTGACATTAGCCATCTTTCTAACATTGTTAACCTCACAAATCCAAGAAGTAAACTGACCCATGAGGAATGTTCTAGCTATATGGAGCATATCCTAGATTGAGCTATTCTGGGTTCTCTTTTGCAGAAACCTAGTCAGCTCATTCAGAAAGAAGCCCTGGAAAGAAATAATATTCATGCACTGTCAATGATCCGAGAACCAGGGCCTGGGAGCAAAAATAAAGCAAGACAATACAGCAAACTAAGCACACAGAAAAAAGCAAACACTGTCCATCCAGACAGTTCATCGGTGGATTAAATAAGTAACTACAGACTTTGCTTAATGAACACCACTACAGCACTAATCCCTCTCTCTTAGATTTCTTTCTAATTTGAAGCAAAAGTAACTTACTGCTTCTTATACCACAGGCACTCCTGGCACAGCACCATGCTCATTCAAGACTGCACTCTGACTAATGAAAGATTTTGAGAGTAAGGCTCAGTAGACAATTTTTGCAGAGCCACAGGCAAGCAAATGACGCAAGAAGGCCATTCATGATGACCATTTGAAGCAGGCTAAACAGAGGCAGACACCCCTGATTGAAGCAGGCCACTTGGAAAAAGCTGTCAGTCTCAGGAAGTAACATAAACATGGGCAGAGAGAAAAGTTTAACACAGCATCAGGCAAGACCATACCGGTGATTTTGCTTTCCAAAGAGCAGAACAAAAGTCATCATGTTACAGAGCCTCACCTCTGTAACACATTCATGCCCAGAGATGATGTTCAGTTTTCTTTACAGTGAGGTTAATGTTACTTGTTTCAGTCTAAACACATACACAGACACAAATGCACACACCACTTCACCAGGGCAGAAGCAAGCCATGCCTTAGGACATCCAAACAACCACCCGGACTTCATCAACGAGATAGCTTTTTGAGCAGGAATATTTCTCTAAGGTTTGCAGTAAAATGGGTTTGTTACCTTGCAGCATATGTTACACTGAGTTCATCCAATACATTGCTAAGTTTCACCTGAAGTTCTTTTAGAACAACACTAGCTTCAGGATCCAACTGCAAAGAGATAAATAATATTATATTTTACTTATACACTAGGTTTCTGTGTCTTCCATTACAATTAATTAACTGGGAATTATGTGCAATGATACACTGCACTATGGAAAACCAAATGTGGAAACACCTGTTGCAACACAGAATTGCTTTAGTAGGCCTAAAAATCCAATTACCATCTAAAGAAAAATATGGAAAATATTTGATTATGATAGTGAAGAATTACATTGTTAGGAATCGAAACTGAGCCATTGAAAAATGACTTTCTATGGGATTGTGCAAATAGTGTTGTCAGTCACAAGGATAGAAGTACCATTATTGGGCAAGCAGTGTTCACGAAGCGCAGCAAGGGAAGGATGCATAAGAAGTTAGTGTTTGTGTTCATAGGACTGCAGATGTTTTTATATTTTTGTTGGTTTTGTACATGTCACCACTGTTGATATTTCTTTTTTTGTGATTTGCATTGAAGATGTTTCCATATTTCCATTAATGCAGTGTAAAAGTAGAACAGCCAGCACTGGAAAAGATGGCTTGAAGACCATCCATGCTGCTTCTACTGATATAGTATGCAGGAAGGAAACCTACCAAATTCCAGTACTGCTGTTTCTAAAAGCCATTAAGGCATACATAATTCAAGCACAGAGCAACACATTCTGATGCATAGGGAGAACAGCTCCTGTACCTCTGATACAGGTTTTCTAACACAGGAAAAAAGAAAATGCAGGGGAGAAATATATTTTTTCACTTACAGAGATGAGGATCCATGCATAGATATTTAATCAAAAAGGTACCATGTTGATATTGATCAGCAGCTTGTTTATTTGCTATGCATTCTTTTTCAAACTAAAAACCCATCTTTTTTTCATCTCCTTGATCTTTAGTATTTAGGAAAAATAGTGACAGCCCATTGGGAGATACGACTGATGATCATCAGGATCAGCAGCTGAATGTGAATCAGTAGCTCATGTTCCAGGTCTTTCAGTTATCTACCCACAATGTTAAGGAATGATTTGCAATGATAACCCTCAATTTCTGGACTCTGTTCTGCAGTAAGGTCAGGTACAGATCTGACAATTTCAAAGGACCTGTGCATTTTGAATACATAATCAGCTCTGTCTCTATTTGCATTTTCCTATCTTTCAACTGCATGAGTAGCATTTAGTGCTTATCCTTCATCTGGTGCTTCAGAGTGCTGTGGTGCAGCAGGTCAGTTCTCATAATCACACTTCAGAGACAAGGGGAAGCTATCACAGCACATTGGATAATTTACATGAGACTATACAGGAATTCTTAGCAAAGTAAACTCTCAAAATAGATCCAATGATCTGCTGTGTTCTGTCTTAGACCATCCTTTCTCTCCTTTGAGATTATGTGTGGTCTAAAAACATAGAAAATCCAAGATGTTCACTACAATTTTTGACAAAACCTGGAATAGGTGACAAAGGGGGTTTATCACACATCCTTTAGAAGATACTCAGCACTCTTCTAATCTGACAAGCTCACTTTTTACTATTGTAAATACTTACTGTGGCTACTTACAGATTTAGTTTTGAATTACTTTGGATTGAGAGTTCTGTTGCTTCTCTATATCTTAGTAGTTTTCCTGGCAGATACACTGTGACAGTTCATACACTTAAAGTGATTGTTTTCCTTCATATGGAAAGCAGGGATTAAAGAGCTAATTTTACTGCAATGTCTGCATTAGTTAATAGAGTTAGAGTTTACTAACAAAGGCAAAAATTTTTCCAGGAAATGCATTTCACTAGGGAGTTATACTGCCTCCTTTGGTGGGATACAGATAAAACACAAATTTAAGACCAGAATATTAACATAACCAGAATATTTAAGACTAGAATATCAACATTTAACAAATATTGAACACATAAGCATTCACACTGAACATGGCACATGTCAAGGAAAGCACAAAATACCAGGCAGGCAGAAGACTCAAAATTTCTTAGCAGGTCATGCACAAGCTAGAGAATCACCTTGTTACTGGGCCTACAGAGGTCAATGGAGTTACTTTCTATCAGAGGTTGTTGTGATAATCAGAAAACACAATATATCTGCTAAATTCACTTAAAACTGGACTCAGTCTGGCCAAAATTGGATTAAATACTAATGCCAGATATAATGACACACTATAAAAGGGTGCATGCAAGTGTTAAATGTTTTAGAGGGCTTTGTGCTCACAAATTGCATGAACAAGTTTGTGTGTGCACAGCTGGAGGCATCTGGCAGGACATCCAGCCTTGTGTGGACACGTGCTCATGCTTCTTAATGCGGTGTCAGAGGGAGGAGTGGAGTATAAAGAGGTATGCGGGCTGCCCACCAGGTGCTGGACACCTGGGGATGCTCTCATAGATAAGAATATGTTAGCAAGAGTTTTAAATGTCACTGTTCCTTTTGTTTAACTGGAAAATAAGGTGATTTGAGCGTCTCACAAGAACTAAAATGTGCACTTTTCATTTATTTTAACCTGTGCCTTCTGTGTGCTATTGGTTGTCCTCGGGCATCATCCAAATGTCGCAGAACCATGACCTGCCTTTTTTTTTTCTCTCCAATGGTATAGCTAAAGTGAGACAGTAGGCAATGCTGATCAGCATCCAAGATGATGTCATACAGGGATATACAGATATGAAAAAGAAGTATCTCCAGTATTGGGGACTTTTCTTTTTCTCCTCAAGTCTCATCAGCTCCACTGAGTTTGATGAAGAAGGAATAAAAGCCAGCAAACTTGTCTGAATTATTTTTCAGGAAAATAAAAGGAAAAAAGCCCTAACTGGGCAGATTAGTTTTGGAAAAAAAAAAAAAAGAAAAAGATGACTGTCATTAGTGTGCCATATCTGATTTAAGCATCAAAAACGAAAAGGCTGTTTATCTCTTAGCTCTTTGGATTTCATTTCCAGTTCACAGCATGTGTGGGCTAGTCTTAAAAACATTCATAGGTTGCTTAGGTATCAAAACTGTAATTTTTTAAGGAGCAAACTGAATGTGTAAATCGTACTTTTCTACCAATTCTAAATTTGCTTGTCTTTCTTAGAGTCATATTTCTGTTATTTTACCATCTTCTTAAATAATTGAGTTAATTTTTATTCACAGCAGAATATACTCATAAATTTGTTGGCACATTTCACGAGATCTGTTAATTATGGATTGTTAAACAGACAACTAGAACTTTGATTTTTTCTGAGTGCTACATGAAAACAGAGAATATATTTGCTAAACAGCTGAAAAATAAGAAATATTTGAACATCACTGTTTCCAAATGCTGCCTGTCTAGAACTGTGACTATTTTTACACATACAAGCCTTGGAAAAGAGTTAAGAATCTGATGAATTTGGCTGCTTTCAACATAATGTGTTAGATTGAGGCATTCCCTGCTGTAATTTCATGTGTGCTAGTAGGGACATAATCTTGTTAACTGCAAATTTGGTAGTGTTTCAGTAGGAAACCACAGAGATGCAAATTACTTTTGCATGCGTTAAATGGAACCCCTCTAACCTGAATTCAACTATTTATCTGCAATTTCACAGGTTTAACTGCTTATAGTTTCCTAATGCAGTTAATTCTCTTCAGAAAATAGTTTTACATATTGTATGTACATCTAGGAAGGATACAGGTATTTATGAGATCCATCACTTCAGTGATTCTTTTTGTCTTTGATCCACATCATCCTTCCTCCACCCCCGCCCGGCTCTCCAGGGACAGTGAGATGTTTGGCTGCTGCTGCTCTAACTACACTTATGAACACTTGGGCCTCTGACTTTACAGATTTAAAGATGGACACTTCAGAACTACCCTGCTTAAGTCTGGCCCTCTGTCATCCCATCAAAGTCTATAAGGCCACATATGGATTCCTATAGGAATTCCTAAGCTTTACACATGAAGTGGGAACTGAACTTATCAAAGTGGAAATATGATTTATCTACAGTCATTATAATACTGTCCTACATAAAGCTTTACACCTTTTTTTTTTGATCCTAATTGCTGTAACTCATTTCTGCCATCTGATGAAAAGCAACATAAACATTAATATTTTTTCTTTCTCTTTTATCAGCTTCCAACATGTCAGACATGAAAAAGGTACTTAGTGTAAACGTATGCATTCCTTTTGGATGAAACAAACAGGAGCTAAACCAAAATATTACAATGATGAACCTGTTCTCATGTTTTTAGATTTGATTTAAAAAAACCAAAACAAACACTGGGTTGAATCTCACTTTACTACTCTTTATTATGGCAGACTGTTCTCATTGATATAATTTTTAAGTACCCTTTCTGCTTTGCTGCAGCAGAAAAGGATAGTTATAAAGAAACTCATATTGTTCAGACTATTTTATTTTAATGGTGGGGATGCTGAGAAACCAGTTTTTTCTCTATTTATAGAGCTCCCTGCCCTGCAATATGCAATAAGCCTACCCTGAACATAGGGACTGCTGCTTGATTGTGGTTGGTTTGACTGCACAGTTTGAAAGACATACTGCTCACAGTATGACACTGAGGAGATTAACAGCATTTAATTTTTCTTAGAATTAGTTTTGCTTCAACTGAAATAGGTCTCATTATTCTGCTGAAAATCATCTGACTTTTATGCCCTCCACAAGTAAAATATTAAACTATTTTTTCCCTGCAAGGAAACTGCTTACAGATTTTATTGCTGGCTTTGTTTCTTATAAGTACCAGTCCAATAAGCCAAATTGGCCATTAGCAGTTGTGCTTTTGGAGTAGCTAGGGGAATTAATATTCTGACTTGAGGACAAACATTTTAGGGGAACTTCAATATGGGTGACAAAAAACTGAATGTGAATGTACTTTTCTTCAAGAAATTGCCCTAAGGACAAACAAACAAAAGTCTGAATATATTTTTTAGGTCTTTTTTCTTAGACCGTGAATCAGAGATGCACTGAAGGTACCTAACAAAGGGATATTAGAAAAATATATCCAAATTCTCTGTGAGGGTTGTATATGTTGACCACATTTGTAGGAAATGTTGCTTTGATACTCTTAAGAACCTTAATAATTCATCCTCATTAACATCAAAAGGAAAGCAAAAAGGAATGAGAAGTGATGAGAGATTTTGAAAGAAAACTGCAATGCAAAAGTCCTAATTATTTTTTGTACTATTATTTTTTATTATATAAGGTGTTAGGAGCAAAAAATTTATTATTTTCTTGAGGAAAATGGAACATTTTGGAGAAGAATGAAGAAAGTATTCTGATTCAAAATTAATCTGATAGAAATAAAGTGCTACTCAGTTTTCCACTGCCCTTGTCTGTATCAGGATTTATGGACAATTAGCTGTTTTTATGATTCATGACGTTCAAATGTGGGACTGGATCCAAGACCTAATACAAAATTACTTTGCACAGAACATAAGTGCACAGAAGACAAGTTTATTTGTAGCATTTAAAGAATGAAAGAGGATTAAGAGGAACCACAAAACCAGCCATGTCTGGATGATAAATATATATTCTCCAAGTTTGGTAAGACGTTTTCAATGACAGCAGGGCTGCAGAAGTTTATTTCATGTCCTCTGGAGCCATGGCAGCTTCAAGAAGCTGTTACTGGCTCAGCAGAACCTCCTCACCATGGACTTAATCTGTAGGTTTATGGGGAGGCTGCAGTTCACTGCATGACACAGGGGGCTCTCACCTCTGAGTGCCCCACTACGGATGTGGGAATATGAAATGCTGTGTTTTCCAGTTCTCTCTGTAATGTATCTAACTTCTTTTTTAAAGCCAGCTACTGTTATTAAGGGTAGTATGTTCATGGTCTAAACATTGCTTCTCAACAAGATGACAGAATTTTTTCCATGGCTGGAAAACATGTTAATGTCTTCATTATGTTTCAGAACGGTCAAAGACTACAGTCAGCAAAGTGTTGAAGCACTTGTTTATGTCCTTTTACTGTTGACAGGACTTCAGGCACTTTTAAGCCTTCTGAAATAAAAAAGGAGACAAAACTAAGCATGTTCTGGACTGTTGAGTAGCAGCTCTTGGTGAAATGGTATCTTGTAAACAAGCAGGCCCTCAGATACTGAAAAGTGCACTTAAAGTGTTTTATAGAATTTTTTAAAGCTTTGAAAGACTTTACACTATCTGCCTAGTAAAACTTTCCAATTTAGAGTGTCAAATGAATGCCCAAGCATAGCTCTTTTTGATTTTAGATCATAGGGAATTACACAAATGGAAATAAGTAGAAAATGTGACTGTTCTTAGCCTTAGAAAATAATGGTCAGGAATAATAAAAGATGCTTACTATCACAAACCTCATAAGAGAATCTCTCTCCTTCTTTCTTCTGCTCAGTGGATTGCAAGTCAAAGGCATTAGACAAAGACATGACACATTACAGACAAAACGTACCAATACATAAAAAGCAAAGTATAGTCCAGTACAAACACTAAAATAAAGCTGGCACTCCAGATTGCAACACAGAACACCCAGTGCTGACTGAACATTACAGATCATTAGCATTTTTCTGTGAAATAGAGGTAGGTCTTTCTACTATTGTCAGGATGTTAAATAGGTCTTGGAGACTTTTTTTCTTAACATTTTGATTTTCTTTGCAAGTAAAAGTGAAACCTGTTACTAGGTTGCAAACGGTGCTAATGATCTCTAAGGAACTTTGAACAAACAAAGAAACAAATATGGCTCACCTCCTTTCCTCCCATGGACTCAAACATTTTCTCAAGCTGGACTCTTAATTGTTGAATGTTGTTCATCAAGATACAGGCCTACAAAGAGAGCATCAAATGTGAGCTTGTGCATGACCAACTCTTCAGCAGCCCTGCATTTGTAGAATTATAGAATCATTAAGGTCAGAAAAGATCTCTCAGATCATCATTCATGCAACTAGGTTTTTCAGAGGAGATCCCCAAACAGTGCTGCCTTTCCTTTTTCTTTAATTGACGATCAGATCCCAGTATTTCACATCCTGAGCTGTACATCCCAGGTAGTTGCTACTTAGTACAGTTACATCTGCGGATTAATGCAAGTAGCACATCATCATCTTTGGAGAGCAGAGGCAACAATGATCAAAGTGCTTTGGAGTGACAATAAGAGGGATGAAAGGGATTGCCAGCTTGCTTTCTAGACCCAGCCTTCACAGAAAACTGACAGCACCATAACCCGGATAATGGCTGATGCTTAAGTATTTGAATAAATCAACAGGCAGATCTGCTAAGAACAGAATATTTCAGAAATATGCAGTTTTGCATTACTTTTTTGCATTGCTTGAAAAGTTGGTGAATTAGGTAAAAGAATTCTGTAATCATATTATTTTTGTCTAGAAATGTTGCTCTTTAAGCACATTTTCTTAAGGCAGAACACAGAGCCAACGAGTGAAAGAGAGTGATTTCTGTATAAATATAAGGTGAAAAATAAAATTAATAAAATTAAGGAACTTGTTAAAAAAAATTGTGGAAGAAAGAATCTATTAGTAGAATTTTGTGCACTCAGATTATCCTATATGCTGGTTTGTTATGGTGCAGGAAAAGCAATATGACAATACTTGTTAAAAGAGCTCTGGCTTGCCAAGGCCAGTGTTTTTTAGTGCATATCTGGCTTAATTTAGGCACTGAAGTAGTGCATATAAATAAATAAAACAAAACAGATATATTTTTTTTCAGACAACAAGAAGGTGATGGAAGATTACAGTATTGATAAACATTTGTACCTTTCTAGTTAATAACATGTTCCAATGTAGTGCTGAAACATGGGAATCAATAACATGATTTAGCTTTAATTATTAATACATTATTCTCAAAGGCATTTAGTATCAGAGTCTTTGTCAACTGAAGGGAAAAAAAAGAAATTTAATATAACTGCTTAATACCTAGATTACTGCTTCCCAGGAAAGCATACTGTGTTCTCCTGCAGAAGGCTGCTGGCTTTGTATAGCAGCTGAAATGTTACCTGTCTGTCTCTTATATTTGTCTATATACCTTCTATTAATTCACAATCATATAAGACTTTGTTCCTCCTTTCCTGTGCTATCTCCTCGCTTCTAACAAATTCATTACTCTAGAAATTACCTGCAATATCACAAGTCAATAATTATAATTTCTGATGGGGGCATAAGTAGCTGAGTATGACACCTTGGTCCTTTTGTTCCAAACAAATGCAAATGCCTTTGGCAATGTACTGAAGTTACAAGCAAAATACTTCATGCTGAAGCAGTTTTCAAAGTTTCCTTTGAGGCTGGCTCAGCTGGCTCTTTCACAGCCTAAGCCTAACTTGGCTCACTGAAAAATTTGCTATTGTTGTCAGTAAAGAACATTACTTAAAAACATTCTCTTTGTATTTCATTATCATCTTGTTCTTCAGAACAGTCTTTGCAGCAGTTTACAGGAATCAGACAGCCAGATGCAACAACATGTAAAAGTGAGTGGCAATTACAATACATAAACCGGGTTTGTTTGTAAATGCTGACAGGAGGTGGAAGATAAGATACGTAGCTTTATGAAAAGCATCTTCAATGTGCTTTTTTTTGAACACTTTATGTGCACATTTTTTAGTGTTTAATAAAATTACTGAAAGTATTGGTTTGAAAAAGAATGCCAAATTCTAATTTTAATAATAAAAATTATTTGTTTTAATGTGTTTTAGCTAATCTAGTGCAGGAGATGGACATTTATTGTGGCTGAAATTAACAGAGCAAATCGTGTTTTATTAAGCTAAAAGCTATGTATTTCAATAGGGCAACTTCTGTTAAAAAAAAATTATGTTCCTCAAGGACATTTGATACGATACTTTATACCTGCTCTAGTGGAAGGTGTCTCTGCTCATGGTAGGGGGTTGAACGTACATGATCTTTAAGGTCCCTTTCAACCCAAACCATTCTATGACACTGTGATACTATAAGGAGATTAATTCCATCTAAATCCTTAATAAAGATGGGCATATGAGGATGACTTCAGAAATCCCACTGGACAGGCCAAAAGACTACACAAACAGTTTGACCTGATGATTCAACACTGTATCAAAACTCATTTATTCTAGAAACCAGTAAGCTTTATTTAATATTAACACTGAAGTTGTAAGAACCACCAATAATTGATATTTAGCTGCAATAGATGTCTTTCTGAATTCTATTATTGCATTTTTTGGAGACCTGTAGATCATCACACTTCCTCTCAATACAGAGAGCACAGATGGGACAGGTACAGGTGAGATCTGTGATGGGCTGTGGAAGGGCTGTACCACAAAAGGTGCACAGTGTGAGGATGGAGCTGCAGTTATTTATCTGACTGTAGATTGCTACAGCTGTACAACATACCACTAAATATAGCAGTCCTAGTGCTAAAGGTTGCCAGTTGTGGGAGTACCAGCTTTGACTGAATATCAATGACACTGAAAAGTCAGTTTACAAGAACAATTTTCCTAGGTCTTGTGAAGGTATTGATAATGCCTCCATCTGCTCAACCAGATCTTTAGTGTCCACATCTCATTTATTTCTGAGTCCATGGCAATCTGGTCCTACATTAGGGACTTCCTTGTAAGCAGTGAGGCACCAAAACAGCATGTGATTTTTTTTCTCACTGCTGCATGGGTAAAGCACAGTCTGCACACATTCCCTGCACAGGGAACAATGATCTTATAAACTCTCCAAGGTATAAATTGATAGAGAGAGGCAAGCCAGTGCTAAATGAAAACTCTAAACAAGAAAGTTTTCTTCTATTTGGGAAACAAGATGAAGATACATTCACCATTTCATCACTGCATAAGGTTGATGTTTTTGGATGTGTTTGTGGTCATCTTTTTTTTTTTTTTAAACTTTGATACTGAAATGATTAACTATGATTTTTAACTAATGTTGTCTATTCCAGCTTGTACATGTCAATGTAAGCAGCTATGAAAATATGCTGATCTCCCTCCATTCATGCCTTTTCTCATATAAAGAAGTGATCACATTTTCAAAAAGTACAGTAAGTCATTTAAAGGTAATTTTTGAGGCAGAAAAAAACACAGCTTCTTACCACATTTTCTTTATCACAATACGAGCTGAAGTAACTTGAAATAATTGCAGCATACTGAAGAAGCACTTTGTTGATAGTCTGGAAGAGGAGAAGAATCTTTTAAATGGTAAATTTCATAATGTAAAAAAAAATAATAAAAAAAGAGGTTTATATAAATGATAGATTTTACAGATACTTACACATTTAGTATATAGTATTGTTTAGATATTATATAAACAATCCTGTGAACACATTTTCAAATGCCTGCACAGCAGATGGTGGGTTGTTCTTAGTGCAATGTAATCTTCAATAACAGAGATAGTTTAATTTTAGCTGTACTGTTTTTGAGAAACATTGAGAGCTCCACTCCTTGCAATGTTCTACATAGTTCTTGGAACAGTAGCAAGCTCAAAAAATCCTCTAGGGTGACAATACATAGATTAGAAATATAATGGAAAAAATAAGACAAAAGCAGCACTGCTCAAAGCCTGGCAATATGAGTTACCTCACAATAATCATGTAAACAGGAACTTCGTTTGCAAATGAGATTTGTTGCAATGAAAGAACAGGATTAAATATAAATGTGAACTTTTTTAAAGTCAGCAGGACTATAATGGACATCTAGAGCTTGTGAGGAAATGTTACAATACAAATAGAAAGCTGCCTTAAGAGTTGAGTTTATCAAACAGCAGGTGAAAAAAACCCTCACACCTCAGGGCCTCAACCAGAAATACTTTATTGCCACACCTTGAATTTTTACTTCAGTTGCACTCACTAATTAGTAATTGCATTTCACAGAATTTCTCCATTAATGGAATTGTAGTCAGTGCTTAGCAAGGTAATAATTGACTATATAACACATATGTACATGTACATATATGTATAAAATATATAAATATGAAATCTCAGAGAGGACAGAACTTCTCAAACTGGTAAATCATTCTGACAAAGTAGATGAAAATCAGCCTTAGGCCACCAACAGCCTGTCTTTCTGAGGATCCCACTCAGACAGAAAATATTGATTCTAAAATCATTGGGATCACTTAGCTTTTAAGTACATGACAACACAATGTCATTCTCTCTGAAGCTCAGTCGAGACACATTGATTTTAATTTACCTTTGCAAATCTTCTCATTAGATGAGATAGTGCTTCTGGATTAGGACACTCCAGTTTCCTAATAATCTCAAAGCTTTGATTGAGCTGTGTGAAGACATCAACCACAGAACACGAGAAGAGGGCATGATCTGATGTTTGCTGAAACTGGAAAAAAACATTCAAATGAGTTAATATTTGTTCAGAGATCAAAACTGTATTAACTGATTCTTACACTTGAAATTCTTTCTAGAGTCGCAAAAAGTAATAAAGAAAATAATAATTTAAAAAAGTCTCACTGATAATACTGAGAAATGTATCTTTTCATGTTTCTGATACTTTCAAACCTGTTAAAAATAAAACCAAAATTCTTCTTCATGACCTCATTATCACATGATAGGTCAGTGAAACCATAGATTAAAGTCTAAGGGGATTTAGACAGAGAGAATTAGAGGAGGAACTTGTCTATAGGGTTATCTTCCAAAAGTTGTTAACTTGTTAGGTAAGAATAGTGTGAGACCAAATGTACTTCTGGTTTTGCAATACTAAATCACTGTCTTAATACTTTATTTATTCTTTTATTTTAAAAGTAAAGGCTCACCCCATCTTTTTTGTCTCTTTCTAGTGCCCCATGAAGAAATTCCATTGAGACATCTTCATTTTCATCCAGCCACTGAATGACAAATGGTTCAAACCACCTGAAAATTAAAAGTAGTTTTGTAAAGTAGGTATGTTGCATAAAGATCCTGAGAGGAGAGATGCCATACTACCCAGCCATTTGGCATCTCATGTCTTCATATCCATTCTTATTTCTGAAAAGTCTAACAACCCTGGAAAATTTTTGTCACCAAAGATGCTGTGACTACCAAAAGGTTTTTGGGCTTCAGTTTCATAATACTGGTGTGCCTTAGTAATGTAAAATTAGTAGCTAATTCTCTACTACATGGAAGGCACTTATCTTGTCCATACTAGCTTTTTGTTAACATTAAATAACTTGCATAAAACTCTGTTTTAGTAAAACATTAGCTGTGTTTTATTTTTCTTTAGTTTATTAAAAAAAAAAATGTAATAAGAGGCCTCAAACCATCTCAGTAAATCAGCACACTTGCAGAAGAACAGGGAATGAGATTAAGGATAGCTCACATAAAATGACAGGACTGAATGCATTTACTGCAGGGATAGAGGTGAAAATGAAAACAGCAGCTGAATATTAACCCAATGCAGTAAGAATCATTTCAGTAGTGTATCCCATTAGCATTGTATCTTCATCCAGACCTGGGTATGAAACAAATGTAGGGGCCTATAACAGTGCTCTTGTTCCCACATCTCATACCTTCCTCAGACATTTTATGACCAAAATATTTTGTCATTTATGAAGACTTGCAGTTACAACAGCTGTATAAAGTCTATGAAATAGCTGATTGTACATTTAACACCTGGGCTACTTCACTTGATAGAATGAAGAATTAAAGAGGAGAAAGCTCAAAAGGTGCTACACAGCTTGAGATCTTGCAAAAACCTGAGCATAAATATTTGACCAAAATAAACCTTGTGCCAAGGCCAAACTCATGGAAGAGTTCCCGATCCAACACTTACAGAGAGTATTCAGGCACTGCATCCTTGAAAGCAGAGAGTTCTCGCACATATTCATTATAAAACCATTTCACTTTGAAGTGCAAATTCATATAATCTGTGCTTTTGCATAACCGCTGCTTTTCATGTTCTGTAAGAGAAGGAGTGGAAAAAAGCACTTAATAACATTCTAAGAGTAAATAACATTCTTGTGCCTCCATGCACTGGTGACATAATAATACAGGACTTGCATTTTAAAGCATAATTGGCTTGATTTTTTTTACAGTTAGTAGTACCCACTGTTACAATTTTCAGGTTCAGGAAAAACAAACCAAACCAAAGACCAGACCACAAATTAGGCTTTTTACCTCTCTTCACTGCAATGAGAAACAACTCCCAAATTTGCTGACTTCCCATTCTTTAGATTCTTTGGTTGTGTTACAAAATGGTTAAGAAGCTGTCAGGTGTCAAGTGAGAAAAGATAACCATAGGTTGTGTAGTAGCCATATGAAATAAGAGTTAAAAATGCCACTTCCGTATGAATCTGTAAAACCTGCATTGGCAGACGGACTGCATTTATCAGAGTTAAGAAAACCAAAGAGGAGACAATTCCACAGTCCTACAACCATCTGATTTATGGCACAAGTAGACAATCTGGCTTAATAAAATGTTTTTGAAGTTTCTCAAATGGACTTCAGCTTTTCACTGTCCTCCTGTTCTCAACATACTGGATATGCAGATGGTCATGGGCGGCAGGGGCCACCTGTAACAGCTTCCTATATTTTTAAAGCCTGCTTTAATTTGTTTGGAACAAATGTCCATCTTTTTGCCAGGATTATGACCCTAATTTTAGCTTATACACTATGCTCTGTAGCCTCTACCCAGCCACTTCACACCTGGACTATCCATCCCTTTGCTCCATTAGTAACAGGCACTTTATCCTTCCTCAAATCTTTCATTTCCTTCTCCCAGTGCATGAAGTCATGGATCCACAGATCTTGGGCAGAATAATCATACCTTTACTTACTGCTCACAACTTCCTAAAATCTCCACAGATCTCATCTGTTTGAGGTGTCATATCACTTGCACATTCTTCCCTAAGCAAAAGGCTAATTTCTTTTCCCAGCTCCCTTAAAAAACCACCTGATACAGATGCTTAGCAGGAGTGATGTTATTGTGTAAATAGTATGTATTAAGAACTTATCTTTTTCAAACCTCCTCTTTGCCCCTTACTTCTGCTTGCTTTGCAGCACTGTATTACACAAATTTTTCATATATCTTTGGATGTGAACCTAATTTTCTGTAGCAGCAGGAGCATCCTATCCTCTGTCACACAACTGAATATACCATTTGATTCTCTGTCAGTGCAAATGCACTTTGAATTACACATTCTGTGCTTTTCAGATCTGACCAGGTACATTAAAAAGAAGTGTTTAGTTTTATTATTATGCCAAATCAGCACTCCAGTAATATCACCATGGCATATGAGAAGTGCTTCAGAAGCATATTATTATGCAATGAATTACTAAGTTTTGTGCAAATCAGCTTACCAAGTGCCCCTGTGGGCTCTTATTGCCTTTTTAGCATTGTGGTACCATTTTCACCTTCACTTTTCATCACACTCAAGAAAAATCAGTAAATCAGTTTCTGTCTAAATATTGCATTTATTCATCTTCATGCTACTTGAGAGTACTACAAATTCTGCCCAGTGTAATATCATTAGTTACTAGCCTTAAACAGAACCACAGAGAGAAGAGAAAGGGCTGTGCCTGCTCTTGGTTCATGCTTTCTACAGACCTGAGGTATTTTTTTTGTTTGTTTCTGGGTAGTAATTTTTCTACAACTTATTACTGTAGAAAGCTAAATGAGCAAATGTTTGCTCAATAAGAGGTAGTTCTTACAAGGTAGACCAGCTTTTCACTGAGAACAATTATCTTATTGCTGTGACATTCCCTGCACATCTACTGCTGAAGTCAATATTAAAAATCTGACTTACATTGCATCCCAAAAGAGTGGAATTTCTGAAATGAATAGCATTTTTTTTCATTCAAGCACTGCATGAATGGGTTAGTAGATTATACAATGTAACTTAAGAATGTTTGCTATGGTATCACAATCCAAGCAAATATTTATTTCAATTTTAAAAATGAGCTGTCATTAATGGGTAAACTTGTCCAGGAGGGTACAACTTATACACCACCATTCACTGATATTTTCTTTTTTAAGTTAAAATTTATAAAACATTAGAAATAAGCACAAAAGTCATTCATGAATAATTGAGCCTTTTTCTCCAGGCTGTTATACCTTGTATGGAATATTTAAAGAGTCTCCTAGGATATTACTTGTGAAAAATGCATCCTCAATTCCCAATATCAATGAATGAGAACATCAGCAAACACTTCACATGACCTACAAAGTCACCTAGTATCCATGCATATTACCTCTTCAGTTTATATGAACCAAAGAACAGAGAAAAAGGCTTCGGTACGAGTCAGCCCATGACAATTCTAACTGGAAAATGAATGGGTTTATCCACAGTAACCATGGATTTTGGTTACAAAACAGCAACATCACTGTAGGTGTTTGAATTTAGGTTATGACCAATGGATTGCTTTCTTAATTTCTGAAAAATTGGCACAAGTTAATGCAAATTAACACCAGAGGATACACTTATGCATTTTGACGATCTGTGTCTTTTTTCCTGGAAGGAAAGCTGCTGCCATGTTTCCCTATACAGATATGCCAGTTTTGGACTTTCTGGAAGACAGATTTAGTAGCTGCACCATACAACTTTTTTTAAAAAAGCCCACTCTTGCTTTGCAAGATTATTATAACACTGAGTCAGTCAGTCTGGAAGTAAAGCTGCCAATTGTGTGCAAATGTGCCTGGGAGAGATGGTAACAGAAATACCTGAACTTTCTCATAATCGATTCTAGATAATGAAATCTCAGTATAGCAAACCTAACGTTATTAATCTTCTTTATTTTATGCTGCTCCTTTTATGAGACATTCCTTGTACTGTAGCACATTTTTATAAGTATCTATTAATCTACTGAGTTCCATAAAGAGGGCATTTTCAGTTCCCATTAGGAATACTGGCATATTCTATATTACTGATGCATCATGCATCAGTGAAAAAAACACTGGTAAGATTTCTGCAAACTGTAACATCTGTAAACTTCAGTCTGTGTGAAAGGGACACTTTAGCTGCTTTTATGCATTGCAGTCCCAGTAAATGTAATTTTTTTACAGCATTGTGGGGAGGGTTCCATATCTCCTTCTGGGTAATGCTCTAATGCACATGTGCTTTCCTCGGGCTTGCAGTAACAGGCACTGGAACTGCAACCACGAGGAAAACTGTAGAGTTGTTCCATCTCCATGGTACAAATTACAGTGACAGTAACACCTTTAAGAAGACTTCCAGTAAGCAACAGTGCTGGGGAAAAAAAAAAAATCTGTTCAGGTGTTGTTTGTATAACCAAGAAAGAAGAGAGTTTGGTTTTGTTTGTTTGTTTGTTTTTTAAAAGGTTGTTACATGGAACCCATTAATATATACAAATATATTTGTTGTGTGATGATATCAGCTACAGACCTGGTGACGCTGTATCTTGCAAATAATCTAAATGTAGGCACCTGTTCTTTCAGAGAAAAATCTATGAAGAGACATAATAGGAAGGACTGTAACCCAAGGTACTTTCCTCACAGGCCTGTGACCAAGCAACAGTACTTTGGAATCACATTTGGTTTCTTGCTCATTTTCCCAGCAATTGATAAAGAAAGTTGAGAAGATTTTCTCAAAGCTACAAATAAAAGTCATAACGATAACTTATTACATAATGATAACTATTAAGCAGAAGTAACTACATGACATTAAAGACATAATGTCATTTAACAAACTGGAATACAATCTTGTTCATACAGAATTATTTTTTCTTTTTAACCTTGAGGTAATAACATCACTCTGAGTTTCCATGTGATTTTTGATATGTATTAGTTGCTAAAAAAGGAAAACAGGGTAATCCAACAACCTTCATAAAAGATAAACATGTTAAATATTCAGATAATCAATTTGATATTTTGTTCAACTCCGATTTTTCCTTATTTGGGTACAAAAACTCAGAGGGTTTTTTTTTTTAACAGCAGTTTCTTAGCCACTGTTTTCTGTAACAATGTACAGTTAAACTGCTCAAAGGATTTTAATGAGATGCTTTCAAAGTATACTTCAAATCTTTATAAAGAAGAACTACAAGGAAATTAGTCTTTAAAAAAATGAACAAATTGACTAGATACAAATAAATATATATCTAACAAAAAAGCTTTTCCAGTTTTCAGGCTTTATAGATAATGTTGTAGAGATTAATAACTACTACAAAGAATATTGATGTACAGCAAATTAATTATATCACAACCAGTTGGTTTGACTGACACACATACCATTGCCCTACAGCTTATTAAAACAGAAATAATTGAAGCTAAGCATATGGGAATTGTGTTTGGATTAACTGCAAATTTTCACATCAAAACTCAACTGTTATTTTCAGCCATTGCAACATAATTCCATACTATTTGCAATAATTACTTATGAATTGTTCTAAAGATTACCAGCTGCATATTTTATCTATTTATTTCAGAACTGCTGTTTCAGAAAACCCGTGATTTCCAAACTTTCAGTCGTATAATTGGGAAGTATATGTGTGACACAAACTGAGTATGGCTAGAGGAGAAAAGCTCCTATAAGGTATGATATTGATTGAGAATGAATTGTTATCCCTCCCTCTGCATCACTGTGGGAACATCACACCTGTATGACACTCACATGTTTTGGATAAAAGTAGAAGTTAATGTTTAGTGTACCTGATCCCAATGCATCTTCCCTACAGTGCTATACTACTGCCTTATTAAATGTGAGTATTGTGCTTGCAGTGCTCTTGACTTAATCCCTGTACCACTGAAATAAGCTTAAAGGCCCTGTTTGCACGTAACATAGTGGATCAGGGCACAATGAAGAAAAATGTAAACTCAAACAAAGTTCCTAACTGATTTAGAAGAAGGAAACATTACATTCTACTAGACATTCCAGGATTCTTCTACTTTGCTAAAGGCAGTAGAAGTCACTGGTTATTAACCAAAATACAGAGTAGAACACAACTA